TATTATTATTAGTATTATTATTATTAGTATTATTATTATTATTATTAGTATTATTATTAGCGTGATAAAAGAGACGTGCATAATGATAATTCAGTGGCGCAACATACGGAAGTGCAGTATCGTCGAAGGAGTCGCAGTGGGCTGCGCTCAAGATGATGATGGCCGAAAGAGCGGCCGATTGTCTCGCCAAACTCGGTCTAGATTCAGAACACGATGCAAGCAGTTGTGCGAATGAAACAACTGCAAATGCAAGTGCATCGTTCGGACACCATCGCAGGTTTGCTTCTTCTTCAAGGCGCTTGCATAACGTGCGAGAAAAGTGATGCAATTTGAACACATCAAAATCAGCCATCCATGAATTTTGTTATCAATTATCGATGTGAATGTAACGTTTATGCATCCAATTGAACAGATCTCGAAGTTTACGCGAACGTACTGGTGTCGATCAACGCTTGGAACGCCTTCCAAGCGGTCCACCACCAAACCAAAAATCATTCCTTTCAACGATCGTTCCCGGAGCGAACACCAATAAAAGGTGCTCTTTTACCGATAAACTCTAAATAAATTATTGTACTGTTTTTTTAAAATCACATTATCATATCTCAGCTTCGAAATCAATTTTCTTTTCCTTTGATATGCAAATTGTTGTCGTAGTGCAATAATGCATAATGTTATAATGCGTCAGTAATACCTAATAGTAATAATGTGTAGTGCAGTCCATCTGCTTGACATGGATTGAGTGTGTTTGTGGTAATTATGAAAAACGATGATCGCTATTTCATACCCTTTAAGCGATCAGTATTTACGAGTTTATTGTAATTAAAGCTGTTTTATTTCATTTTATTCACTTTTACCAGTTCAGCGTTAGTTTTCTTTTGAATTGTAAACATTTTGATAATAGTAAGGTGAATGTTTGTTCGAAATGTTTCAGTCGACCTGTACGAGTGTGTGATTTTGTTGAACACGTTCGGCTGATGTCCGCCGATTCGGATTTTCGATTCTCAGAAGAATATGATGTAGGTGGAAGTAATCTTTAACTGAATTTTCATTGAAAAAAACCACATGTGATTGATTAATAGCTATTTGATTATGAAGAATCCCTCTTAATCTAGTTTACTGATTCAAATTCATATGAATTCGGAGGATTTGAACAAGTATATTCTTAGTGCCTATTTTGAAGGATTTAAAATCGGTTGGAAACGGTCAAACGTGCATTGCGGCTGATTTGACTGTGAATCGTGCAAAGAATCGCTTTACCAATGTTTTACCGTATGATCATTCGAGAGTCAAACTGCTGTCACTTGACGACGAAGATGGTTCGGACTATGTGAATGCCTCATACATTCCGGTTATTTTTAAATCTATTTAGTTCTTTTATGCATTCAGTTTTATGCTCAGTCTTCATTAAAGTATACCCGTCTATTTCTTTTTGTCGTTATTTCATCAAAATTCCAAACTGGACTTTACCAGCACGCATAATGCGGTGTTTTCGTTTTATTTGTCTCTTAAAACGTTTCTGAGCAGGCTGCTCAAAATAGGATAAGAGAAATAAATCAACCGAATAAATGTAGGGCTTTAATTCTCGTCGTGAATTTATCGCTGCACAAGGACCACTGCCCTCAACACGTGATCATTTTTGGCGTCTCGTTTGGGAACAACAGTGTCCAGCGATCGTTGCATTAACGAAGTGTGTTGAAAAAGGTCGTGATAAATGTCATCAGTACTGGCCTGATAATGACCAACTTAGTGTTGTTCATGCTGATATCGAGGTAACATTTCGTCTCGATCAGCCCATCACCATCCTATCGCTATTGATTCATATGATTTTCTGAATTTCAGCACTCACTATTCATCTCATCTGAGCCTTCAAATTGATGGATCATTCTGTGAATTTTGAATGAATTCAGAAATTTGAAGGTGTTGAAAAGAAAAGCTTTAGGTGACGTTAATGAACGAGACGGTTTATGATGAGTTTATCTTGCGTGAAGTTCGTCTAACGAATCTCAGTCAGTCATCTTCATTATCAAGAACCGTACGACACTTTCATTACATGGCATGGCCAGATTTCGGTGTTCCTGAACGTGCTTCGGGCATTGTGCAATTCGTTCGTCTCTTCAGGCAAAAGTTACCTCCCTCAACTTGTAATAAACCAACAATTGTGCACTGCAGGTTCATACTCCTTCTTAATACATCCTACGAAAATTTGAGTGATTATATTTCGCATGAACAATTATATAAAATCAACTATACAAAAACAATATAACACTTTTTCAAGTAAAATCACTGGGTATTCATTAAATGCAGTGTTTTCCATTGTTCTGAAATTGTGATGTCAGTGATCAGTGAGTTCAAGTAGTTAAGTTAGATTCTTATTCTATTTTGACAAATTGAAGATAATTAATTAAATTAAAGTGCGGGTGTTGGTCGAAGTGGAACATTCATAGCACTCGATCATTTGATGCAATCAATAGCTCATGATCGACCTCTAGATGTGTTTGGAATTGTCTACGATATGCGAATGGAACGGTGTCATATGGTGCAAAATGAGGTACGAACGTGCATTCTGTTACTTCAACAGTTTTATATCATTGATCCAATGAAGCTAAAACCAAACTTTCATTTGCAGCAGCAATATATCTTCATCCATCAGTGTCTTGAATACGTTCTTCAAAACGATGCAACCAATACCGTCAAGTCAAGTCCATCAGTACCCTCACCAAATGTCAATGCTGCTGCAATATTCCGTAGTACCAACTCAAGCAGTTCTACGAATAATAGTAATAATAGCAGTGCTAATGCTAACAATAATAAAATACCAAATCGACGTTCTGTTTCATCTGGTCACAGCAGTATTAGCACTACAAATATGACCATTAATTATGTAAAGATTGTTGAAGAAGAAGAAGTTCCTGCTGCTTCAATATTGACGAGGAAACCACGAATAGAGGTGCATAAAAATGCAGCATTTGAAGACGATGAAGGAATTGCTGAATCTGGCTTATAATTATTTCACTGTTACTACCGTCATTGTCATTACTTTTGAAATTGTTATCATTATGTTACATTTGTGTTCGATGTTGATTTGTTTTTATCAATGTACTTTCGGGTGGTCCTTATTTTCGGACATTGGAATTTCTTCGATTTGATTGTTAAGGAAATGGTGTCTTTTGGGTTGGAAATCTTAGGGAAAAAAGTTTCTTCTTAAAAATCGCGTAAGGTACCGTAGTGCGCGAATTTCGAACTGTAGAATTTTCATTGTGTCACCTCAAAAGAGTGCCTTCATGAGTGAAACTGACCTCTATTGAAGTTGGCCTTAGAAAAATTCGTTCGAAAAGTTCACACTATGTGCTTCTGCGCTTCAAGCGGAGAATAAGTGGATGCAGCAATCTTTGGGCCTAATTCCTTTCTGATGAGCTTTTACAGAGACTATTTTTGGTCAGAAACGTGCCCTGCAGGAGGTGAAAGTCTAAAGGCACTTTTTTGAAGGCTGTTATAAGGATTTTTGAGGAAAATGTTTTTCTCATGCAAATAAGGACTATTTTGATCTACTTTTTTAATGCAAGCGATGCTGGATATGATTAGGTTGAGGAGTGGAAGAAACGCGAGGGGATTCAGAGGCACCAATAACCTGCACAGTTTTCAGTTTTAGCCAAAAAATGAACCCATATACTAAATTTTAAGTATGAAAACTAATTAGAAAGAACAGATGAAGCAGAGCTGGCAGAAATCTAACGCATTTGCTGCTGAAGCGATTAGAAGTCAGGCAAGTTTAGAGTAATTAGACGATTAATCCAGAAAGCCGTGGGAGCGAATCAGTTGAGATACAGGGAGATGGGTCCCCATCTCAAATTCTGCCTGGTTTGTCGTTTCTCCTTTGCCTAACTATAGGAATAATCAACAGCTAAGAAGCATGCCCAACTGATGGTATTTATTAACATGCAATAATAATTGTCACAATCACCGTCTTTCATTTCATTTCATTGATGCCACTGTCATGATTAATCTCGATTTCAAATGCACTCGATTTGTTCAAATGCAATGTATGTGTATGACGTTGTGTGCAAGATTAGCTGCTGACAATGATCGCATCCCGGGTGAGCAGATTTTTTATCTAAACGGACGAATACTAAATGCACGTCGTTGCAAATCACAATCAAGCACATACTTCAAAAATATTCTCTTGTCCTCCTTCGTAAATATACAGTTGAACTTCGGTTGACGACCACAGTTTGTCGCGGAAGATTGATCGTAGCCTGATGGTCGTAAACCATAGTACACGCATCGGCAACCTCCGCCCGCGGGCCAAAATTGGCCCGCCGACAATAATCGCAGTCAGTTGCTCGGGAAAATTTCGGCCCGCGGCCAAACCTACTTGCCGATGGTTGCCATAGTAGTTACTGGCAAATGAACTAATTCATTCTGACCTACCTTATTATTCCTAATGTAAACTGACAATAAGTTAAGTTGAATAACACTACATAAATCAGAAAGCACACACGTTGAATGAGTGTAGTGATATCTGTTGAGTGGAAAACACCAAAAAATGATAGAAATCCTCATTCGTCGGTTATCATAAATTCTCTTGTACAAATATGAACATGACGAAGAATCCCGTGTTGTTTTGACGGAAATGGTTCTAAGCTGAGTAGCGGTCGTGAGCCGTAACAAATTCTTGCCGGAATTTTCAATTGTAACTTGAATTAGTCGTGAACCGAGTTTGTACTGTATATACTTATACATAAAATTTTTTATTCAGAATTGAATGGACATTTTTGGATGATCTGATAAAGTGCTCACGATAATGGTTGTTTTGCTGTTGTTACCGATTATGCATAAAATTTGATAAAATCGGCTGCAAAAATGTAATGAGGTAGATAAGTATTTTCAATTGTAGGTTGATTCGTTTAATACTACACATGTCTGTGTTGGTTCAGTTATTATCATGAATTGATGGGTACTGGAATTTGGGTGGGAAGCGGTTCATCTCACAAGGTTGTTTAATAGTCTCATTCGTTCCGATATAGGCATGATTATGAAAGTATTGATGTGAACGTTGTAGCGTTCGTAAAAATGACAACATGAGTAGTAGTAAGAATTTGAAAATACTAATAATCACAACAATTATACATCTTGAAATGAAACATATAATATAATGGTAAGTTGTTCGGAAGTCCCTGTCATTTTCCTTATTTTCTCCCTAATCGAGACATGTGGCGTCAGAAGATCACAAGAAACGATAACACTTCGTTTATTTGTTATGAGATAGATACAGTAACAGCCGGAGGTGGGCTCGGTCAACCAAAATGTTAACATTGAGTCGTTAAACTAATACATAATAAAAAGCAACGAAATCAATTTTTCGTGGAATTAGTTAATGCCGGGCTCACACCACTTGACGAGGCAACTGCGACAGGCGCAAAATGAGAAGTTCATATCGATATACTTTGTAGGAGGTTGAATGAAATTATCTTATTCGATTCATTTCGGAATGAAAACCTAATAACAAATTCTGATTGTTTTCGTGAAATACAACGTTCAGACTTCATGAAACTTACCGATTGCTTCCTTTCGATGCTTTTGAAATTGGTCTCATGTTTTCCATTGTGTCATCATCATGCTAACACAAAATACAATAAAATATCAAACCATCTATAGATGTTAGCGTAAGAGGGTTTGATGAAACAGATCACTTAGAAACAAAGTTAGTATAATATCGCCTTCTGTGCTGTACATATAGGAATTGTCGAAACTGAGCCCTCTTCATATTCCCTTCATTTTTCTAACAACGACATCTGAGTTCAACAAAGATTTTCGACCGATGCCGAATGCAAGGCACGCTCTCTGAGCTGGTCGGATCCTCAAAGCCCATCGTGACCTCAGGACACCATCGACCAGTCGCACAACCATATCAAATATATTTACGTAATCTCTTCTCTCAATTCACATCATTTTTTATGCCAGCTTTTCGCGTTAGCCGCGGCAGGAATGAAATTTGAAACCCGTAATGAATAATACGGAAGTAGTTACAGCTGACAAAGGCGTGAACGAATTATTCATTTACAAAATATTGTGAGAAAACTTTCCAGAAGGACTCAGCAAGAAAGTTACAAATAAAGTGGTTTTTTTGGTAGTAAATGATCACGGTGGATTCGGGACTATTAATTCATTAGAAGTTCATAACAAATGAATGTGTCCCGCGACTGCCAATTGTGACCATTGAACATCACCATTGCTCACGCCGAGCGTCACAACTCTCGCAACTTAGCAATTCGCGACAATATTTAGAAAAGATTTCTGTAGTACTCAATCTCGGCTATAACATGGTATATTATTATGATTATAAATTTTCCGACAAAGTACACGTTTTTCTGGGTGACCGACAAATGCCCTAGCGGCAATTGCAAGCATGACATTTGGCAAGCCCGTAGTCAGTCACACAAACTTCAATGCATGCTCACCATTTTGTGTGTGTAGTATGAAACGCGGACTATGTGATATATTTCGAGAATGTTTATCATTGTTTTATGGTACTGGTGTCGTTTGAGGGGGCACAGCAGCGAACGTGCAGCAGTACAACAACTTCAATTTTAACAATTTCAATTATTTCTTGATGTTTTGCATTTCAAGCGAAACAAAAAATCTCGAGTATATCTGTCCACTCTCCACATCATGTTTTATTCTCCCCGGTGTGTGCTACAAACATAAACTGTTCGCATTCCTTAACACTTATCAAATAGAAATGTGGGTTTCGTTAATTGGCGAACTGTGTGTATAACAGTGGTGAACAAACGTCCGCACTGCTCAAGTCGAACCGAAACGAATTATGGTAGTAAAATAACAGAGTGCTACGATGTAAACGGAATACTTGAAGGGGAACTAAGTCTCCGTCACGCTTTGGTAGGAAGCGAAATATCCGTCATTCGATGAAGTTGTGTTGTACTGATGCTTCCATTCCTCTGAAGCATTTATTAATTGTTTTGATGAAAATACTTTTTACGAATATGCCTTAGCGTTGCACAGATTTATTGTTTGCGGGATTGACGTTGAGCACTCGATTGATTCGTATTTGTTTGGTTGCTCAGATAAAGAGAAAAATGAATAATTCGAATTGTCTTATACAAAGCAGAGTTATTTGGTGCAGAACTAGAATTTTTCAAATTCGAATTGAATTTATTCTGTCTTTCCACTTGTTCATGCATAACTAACAACGTAGTATCCACTGTATCAAAGCACCTAACAACGATTTATAACGGTTCACAAGAGCCATAATAATGGTTCTACATACATCATTGCATGTAAAACTCACGTCGGTATCTCTGAAAGCAGTAATTCGAAGTATACGAGATCATGACAGTTTGCTGTGTGAGCGCGCATGAACAAGAACGCTTCTGTGCTGTGAGTAAAAGGAAATTTAGACTTGCAGAATGCAAGAAAAGCTGTTACTTGAAGTTGTAGCAGGCAACGGTCATGGTGCTGCCGATGAAGGCTTTTCACCGGTGTCAACATCATTCGCTGACGTGCATCGCATTGAGATTTTCTCAATCATCAATGCCATTCCTTCATTTGCATATTCACCACACAAAGAGGAAGAAAGTGTTGAAAGGTAAAAACTTTGCGCTTGATTTAGCATCATCTGTTGTTGGTTCGCAGAAAGATTTCATTTGGTGGGCTTATTAATCAATTATTAGAAATTTACCTCGTTTCATGTCAGTTTTGATGGCTATGTAAGGGGATACTGATAAAGTTATTAAAGCAAGTAAACTCTGAAGAACAGCTGGAATCAGAATGGTCCTAGACAAATTCATTAAATGTCTCAGAAGTCAGAATTTCTGATTTTCAGGTTTAAAACTGTATTGAATCTTTATCAAGAACAACCGATGCTCCTTGACTGTTGTATCAACGAAATGATCAACAAGCTGCTTTCGTTTGTTGAATTTCTTTACGGCGATAAAACGAAGTAATTTTCAGCAGCTTTTTTGCATTTTCTTTCTAACAGGTTGCTGAGAAATCTTTGTAAAACTAATGCTTTCATATCTAGCAAAAGAGATGAATTTGTTGTGAAAATGCATTGTCTTGAAGACTGACCACATTTTGAGTGTCTCATTTTATGCTGTGGGTTTTTACGTCGTTGTAACGATGTGGTTTTTTACGTCGTTCAAAATCGAATGAGTTGGTCGTATTTGTGATAGTTACAGTGAAATATCACGATAGATTACATCTGGACTGAGACTTAAGCTGAGGCTGATATCAAGGAACTATCTATTTATTTGATAGTACCTGAACCACGGGATGACTGAAGCATCTATTTAATTTGTAGGTACTTGATTTCGGTAAGACATAACGATCTATTTGTCTTATAGGTTACCTCTTGAAAATTTGGAAATAGTCGTATCAGTTGATTCACTTAGGGATAATTGTCTAGTTCACATTGATAATATGTTCTGAAACAATTTATGTCATTTCTCACTTGCTGAATGTAATCGTGAAGTTTTTCGAGTGGTATATATCTGGTGATAGACAGTTACTGTTTGATCAGTTCCTTGCCAAACATTTTGATCTGGCATTAGATCAGTTTAAGGAGAATTAATGCGATGGATTTGTGTTCATCATTCAATTTATTGTAGTCGTCTGGATTCTGTGGGTAATTATGTAGTTCAGCTTGCTGCATTCATAATCGCTGACAGTGATTAAGAAATTAGCAACGCGAACTGCATAATTACCCTTAAATTTTTTGCTAAAAGTTTTGATCTACCATTAGATCAGGTCAGTTTTAATCCTGTTTCAGTGAGTTTTGAATTGTGAAGGATAGTCGTATACTGGATGTTAATCTTAATTGTTCAGTGTTATTGCTGAATTCACAGCCAACATTGCATAATTACCTCAGTTCATATTTAAGATTCGACAATAAATCGAGATTGGCGATGATTTTGCTCTCACATCTAGCAAAAGTTCGTGGTTACAAACATTTTCTGTCGTTACTGCCGCATGAGGTATTATCAACACTCCTTTCATTAACGTTCATCTATTATTCACTAGTCTAATGTCATTTAGTACGATGCACTGTTATGTATCTCTCTCATAAAAACTGGTAAAATACAGTCACTGATTTCTTATGCTTACTGATCAGTAAGTCCATCGTCATTTGCTTCTTCTATCATCGTTTGCAAGTTCGATAAGATGTTGCAAAATATTACATTTCCATAGGATGCTAGTGATCAACTCGGTCGTATTTTAATTCTCTTGTTTCAGTTTATTAATAGTATCGTGTATAAGTCAGTTTTCTAGGTTTGCTATATGGAAAAAGTGCTCGTTTCGTTGGAGAAATACAATGATTCAACGGATTTATCAGACGCACATGAAGTAGGTTATGTGCTGCTGTTGTGGTTGACTATTCTGTGCAAGAATCCGTTCGACTTCAAACGCTTCGATTCCTCTTCGAAAGGACCATCGACAGTGCGTCGTATCATTCACACTGTTATGCCCTACCTTTACATGGGTGTAACCAAGCTTTTGGTAGGTTAATTTCTTAACTGTTTCTGTTGACGCGATGCATATCGTCCCAGTGCAGCGTTCGTTTCCCATCAACATATTCTTTCTTTAATGACTTCTTGCTGCTGCATGAACAAGATTCAAATCTTCAGCATGACCGTCATTTTTTATTCAGTCATTACGTGTCTTTCTTCAGTTATCCTTTCCAACATTTATGGTAATGATGAAAAAGAGCTTTCAATTGAATTCAGCCAGTGTGTTCACTGCTGTTGGCAATCGTCGTGACACGAGAAGATGCAAGAGCAAGTTTATTATTGGAAACGATCGAGTCATGTGTGAAGGCAATATCGACCTGTTCCAAAACAACCTCCGGATATAACATATTGATCGCGAATCTCTACCTTCTTACTTCTATCTTCAAACATGTTCGGTTTTACTCAACTTATTTCACATTCTTCAGTTCATTTTCAAACTTATCAACGTATCATGTGATCATTTGAAATCTAGGGTCGACGTGATGATCTGTTACCGTTGGCTGGCACTGTACTGAGGGCAGTCGCACCTCTCGTGAATGTTAACAGTTCTGATATCATCGTAAAAAAGCTTCTCATCAAATTAATTCAGCGACTTGGAGTGGTCTTCTTGAAACCGAAGGTTTGCTTTTGGATTTTTTAAAAATTGATTTCGAGCGTTTGATGCTTAGGTTTGTTACTGACTGATGATGAATGGTATTAAATGAGCGAATCCGTTAATCAGATTCGTGTTTTCATTCTAGTCTCTGTTGAAATGTATATAAACGTACTGTTACAACCTTGTAATTCAACAGTTACGACGTTACAATAACGTTATTGTTGGCGTTGTTGCTTAGTTAATGTGATCGGTAGCAATCTCGATCACTTTTTAGTTGCTAAACGTAATCGTGAAGTTTTTCGAGTGGTATATATCTGGTGATAGACAGTTACTGTCTGATCAGTTACTTGCCAAACATTTTGATCTGGCATTAGATCAGTTTAACGAGAATTAATGAGATGGATTTGTGTTCATCATTCAATTTATTGTAGTCGTCAGGATCCTTATGAATTGTGTAGGTAACTGTATAGTTCAGTTTGTTGGATTCGTAATCATTGACTGTGATTAAGAAATTAGCAGCCCAAAGCAGCACTCAATAGTTATAGCAATAATGATAATGCCATCATCAAATGCAGTCTGCATTATCGTCAGAATTGCGAGGATCGAGATTTGAAAAGTTGTACTCAGGTGTCGAAGTGGCGTTATGAGCGTGGTGATCGTGTGCTGAGTGTTGATTCGTTGAAAGTGCAACAAAGTTTTGCGTATTCAGAGACAGTACATGAGGACGAGCTCGACGACAATCAATGTGGTATCGCTTGTGAAGAAGTTTGTCAGCTGTTCACTTATTCAAATAATATTACAGACCGTAATTGTTTTTATTAAAAGCACTTATTCGGTGAATGTGATTGCAGTTAGAGGTAGTATTGGATGCAATATTACGCACTCTTCGAGATGACGATACGACGCTGAGATGGTCAGCAGCGAAAGGTGTCGGCAGAGTGGCGTCGAGACTGCCGAAACATCTCGCAAACGACGTTCTCTCATCGATATTATCATCAGTTTCCAATCACCTCGCTGGTCATGCTGCATGGCATGGTGCATGTTTGGCCATCGCTGAACTCGCACGTCGTGGCTATCTGCTCCCGGAGCGAATACCAGACATCGTTCCTCTTATTCTTAAGGTATGTATATATTACGTTATGTCTGTCGCTGAATTTGCATATCCAATCCATACAGGCGTTGATGTTCGAAGAAAGGCAAGGGCGTCATCACGCATTGGGTGCAAACGTGCGTGACGCGGCGTGCTATATTTGTTGGTCATTGGCACGTGCATTCAGTCGATTTGATATGATGCGTTACGTTCCGCAGATTGCTACATCTCTGGTTTGTGTCGCTGTTTTCGATCGAGAAATCAATGTTCGAAGGTTGCTCTTCATTTCAACTTCATTTGTTAAAAGAATCTGAATGTGAACATTTTTATTGTGCTTTTTGATGCAGATTCGTTTTCGTTGTTAGCTTAGAGCTGATCGATGTAGATGAAATTCATTGCGCATTCCAGGGCGGCAAGTGCAGCATTCCAAGAGAATGTTGGAAGGCAAGGCTCATTCCCTAATGGAATCGAAGTTCTCACAATGATCGATTACTTCGCTGTTGGAATGAGACGCCATGCCTATTTGGAGGTTTCTACTCAGGTTGCCAAGTACCCGTTGTATTCGCGCCCTCTTATTGAACATCTCATTGATCATAAGGTTTCACTCATTCAATTTTTCAGTCCATCGATGATCGTCCATCTATTTTTTTCCTTACCAGTTCTCTTCCGAATATAAATGCAACAAACCGAATGACTCAATAATATAGTTCGTATTTCCAATCATGGATCAGTAATAAAAGATTTAAGGTGACGCATTGGGATGAAGGGATTCGAATTTTGGCATCTGAAGCGTTGGCTCGTTTAGCTGTTTTTGATTCTAACACTTTACTCGAACAGGCAATGCTAATTTCTCTTTAAATAGAATTCTTTGCATACCCAAAATGTTCGTCATTTAATGCAGCAATATATGAAGTCAAGCGATATTTTATTATGAACAATCTAAGGTCTTTCATCGTTTATTTTGTTAATGTGTTACTATGCTAGCGCAATGCTTTTCGTTCCTCATCTACTTTTCGGGCATAAACGACGAAATGCAAGTGCATGAAACCGGGCATAGTTGAAGTGTTTGTAAGTGGTGTGTTTTGAGGTGATATCAAAGATAGTTCCATTGCTGGACGATCAACAACCAATAGTGTCACGCCAAGGTGCTATAATGGCTCTCGCAGGTGCATTATCTGGTCTAAGTGGATGCACTTCGGTGATAATCGACGATTGCTTGTTCGAGACAATCGCGACAATCCCTTCAAAAACGTTTCTAATCTGTAATAAGAAGACGAATTCGCTCGGTGGTGCATTCATGCGCCGTGCAGTCAGCACTTTCATCCTCAAGTTATCAACTGTCATTCCGGCGAAGTTCATCAATGTTCGTCATTTATATATTTCGCGTCTCTTTTCACCCATCATTCACAGTCACTTATGCTTTTTCATCCTTTTCTTTTTCATTAAGCTAGCAAAATGAGCTTACAAAATAAGTGTCTTTTCAAGAGGATTGGTGAAGGGAGTGTAAGCCTAAACATGTGGGCTGATTGAGTAAATTCAGTTCGGTGACTGGCTAAGAAGCATCGATTCAATAGCGTGTGATCAGAATGAACAAATGCGTAATGATGCAGTGCAGGCGGCTTCTCATTTCTTCATTCTTTTCGATTGCTCTGAACGTGCTCATTTACTCGCGAATCACGTCACACAGTACTACATTCATCAGGCAAGCGTTATTCAATGATTTGTTAGAACTTGAGTCAAATATTTTAAAATTGACATACTGATTCATTCCAGATAGTATGCACAACAAACGAATGTGAAAGAGAAGGTATCGCCGGCTTACTGAGTGCTTTGCCGCTGAGTGTTTATGTGCTTCAAGGCCACGATCAATTAACACTCTTCACAATAATTATTAATACTCTTATTGATATTATTGACCGGTATGCAACTAATACTGCGTTTGTGGCAATACCTATTGATTATTTGCTTCTTTTTATTAGTTTCTTTATCAGATATAGTGGAAGATGAATGAGAAACTGCTTTAAGACCATCTGCAATCGATGCGATGTGGGCATGTGGTCGACGTGCTTGTGTGGATTCTTTAGCAAAAATAGTCTCAGTTGTTGGTTTAGATTCGTTAACAAATAATGACTCCTCAAGACTCATCAATTGGTTCGATATACTTTCTTCAATTATACACGTTCACTTCAATCGTAATCATATTCATTCGACAATCCACTCCATCCATAAATCAGTCTCTGCGTAAAATATCAGAATTTAACCTGGCATTATGTTGATAGCTAGGTGTTTGAGTGGTATCTACCGGAATGGAAACAATCGGCGAAGATGTGGAATTTCAGGTGAGTTTCAGTGATCAATAAACATAATTGCAGTCTTATAAATGTACTGAACGATTACACAAGTGATCGTCGTGGTGATATTGGTCGGCTGTTGCGCGCAAGTGGAATGCGTGCGTTGAGAACACTCTTGCCGAATGCACAACGCGCGAATCGACACTGCGATCGCTTTGATGAAGCCATTTGCAAGATTGTGCAGCAGTCGTGTGAGAAGATTGATGCTATACGTATTGTACGCTATTTACTTGTCATTTTAGACCATAATGAAGTTGTCAACTGAATGCAATCACAACTTAGTTCAGTGTGCTGCCGGAGTGCTGAATGATTTATTGCTATGCGGTTTGGAAAATATTGTCGACAGAGAAATTCTGAAAGCGGTGTATTTGATTGATGGAAGCAGCTCGTCGAGAACATCTGAATGGCAGTTGTCCGATTGGGGTCACAATGTTTGTTTCAAAAGACTTACTACACTGTTCGCGAGTCATCATTATCGATATCATGCGCTTGTTGGTTTCATTGTCTCCGTTGGTAAGCATAAGTACAATTTTTTTTCTGATCGGCTATTCTCTTTTTACACACTTCATTTTCGTGAGTATCCAGTCGCAATCAAATCTCTCAACACCATAACGTCTTTACTTGCCGCAAGAAAATCCATTAGTTTTTTAAACTATTATATTTTGTACTCCATAAGGTACATCATAATCTTCACCGAATTCTTCTATGTCATTGCCTTGTTTTCTTCAGGAGGTTCTAACGAATCCACAATGCGTTGTTCCGCAGACGCCTTATTATCAGTATTGAATGCTTTCCGAGACTCGCCAGCGGTAACTGTTCAAACTATGATTGTTCCATTCCAGCGAACTCATTGTGCGCTCTGTTTTCTCTTTTTTGGAATTTAATGATCCATTAGCGATGAAGACAGATTTTATTACACATTTGTCAAAAGTGAAGTGTGTTGAAGAACCTTGCGTACACATTATATGGTGCTCTTTTCGAAGTGGATTGAATCGATTGCCTATCGGAAAAGTATCTTTAAATTCCAACTGTCTTACCGCAAATATCTTTCAACTTGGGATTTTGCAGCAAATGGAGGCGTTTCTGCATGATTTGGCAACGATTTTCTCGAATAGTATCGGTGTGGCTCGCATGATCGAACCATTACTATCTACTATCGAGAAGATTTTCTCCGCTGAAACATTGTCTTGTTTCGAGCAAAATCCTGACTCATCGCCATCTCTCATCAGAATTATCGACCTTGTCGCAATGGTTAGTCAGATGGCGCTATCAAAATCTTTGAATGAAGTTAAATTGATAAAGTTTGTACTGCAACAAAGTTTTCGTAGATGAGATTTATTACATTTTTACATTCTAGCAGTCGGCTAACAAGAAGTGCAAACCACAAGTGCTGAAAAGCGCTGTGACGATCCTTTCTCATACTCTTCATCTCAACTCTGATAGTCATGTTTGGCATAAAGCTGCTTCTGTGGTTCGTTTCTTTTCAATCAAAAATTAATACAATATGTTTATACTTCTTTCGTTTGATTGCAATTGATCAGCCAATCCAGTGCTTAAATATTCTGTTCCAGTTGAGTTACCAGTTTTAATTATGAAGGGTCTGAAAAAAAGTGAACACACGAAAGACACCATTTGGAGATTGTAACCATAACAAGTGTAAGATTTTTGTTGGTGTTTGGACAAAAGGTAAAGTGGACGTTGTTGGTTTAGATAGTTTGCACTCTGCACTCATCAGTTCCGATGTTGCGTCGGTGTGCGGCCGAGCAGTTGTACGAGTGCGTTGCATCTGAGGTGGCTGAGGCCGAAGGCAAGGAGAACGCTCATCGAGCCGAGTTACTGAATCTGTTGTCGAGCACCGAGTGGCAATCAGATGCGAAACAGGAGCATTTCGTCGAGATTAGTCGATCAATTGCGCGTATTCTAAATGTTGCATTATGACTTTTATCCACTCATGCATTTATATGTACGGCACTTTTGCTCCATTTTCACACACTTTCTATCGCATTCTGCTGGAATTGACACGATGCGAAAGATGCAAACGATCAATTTCTTCAGAGTTTATCGATGATTCCGGTGAATGAAAGATGCATTGAGAATACAAGCTTTCTTATAAATTTCATTATTTTCGAAATAGACGTACATTGGCTACCGTCTGTCGTGCTTTTTTCTTGGTCAGCACTTTGTAATCGTTTTGTTGGTTCGACTTTTTATTCCTTTCCTTGCCTTCTTACTTATTCTCGTACGAGAACTTCGTTCTCTCAAGCAGCGAGAAAATACTTTGTTTACGAATTGCCACTTATCCGGAATTCTTGAACTGTCCACATTACTATCTATTTTGATCTTGAAAAGAATAATTTATGTGTTGCATTTATTCAGTTATTGTGTTTTGAAATTTTAATTTTCAAAAACTATCCGCCAAAAGTCAGCTAAAGTCACCGTTGATTGGTGTTTGTAATTATTCATGGAATAGCTTCCGATACTTTCGATTTTTCGGTTGTCTCACGTCGATTACTGAAACTCTCTGTTAATTCAATCTCTTTAGCCCGCATCCAGTCAAGTTTCGTCCCAGCACTGCATAAACGTCAGTCATTGTCGTATGATCTCGTATTCGATATTTATTCGTATTTTTCACTTCAAATCGTGTCAATAGGTTTAATCCTTCGTTTCAATGAAGCGTTCAAGTAATAAAAACATTTCACACTGGGCTCTCATTGGTTTTTCATGCCAATACTGCGTGTTCTATTCGGCACATTATCTGTTATTTTATGAATGAAAATTGTAGCGTATCGACTGATATTGCTGCATGTTAACGCAATCAAACTTATCACAACACCAAAATAATCGTCAATCAGTTGTTCGCATTGCTGACCAGTGCATAATTTTAGGTTGTGACCGTCTCGAGTGAGCCTTTAGACGATTCAAACTCTCTTCAAAATTAGCATACAAACGCATTTTCGTGAAACAAACTGAATGATCAAAGCAGAACAGTGGATATAAAAAGAAGGATTGATCACCCGAACTTTCTATAATTTTCGTAGTGCTTCATTTCAGAGGATTAAAAGTGAAATCAGATATCGAACCAAATACGAATACAAGCTTCCTTGAAGTTGATTGTAATCTGCATTAAACCCCGTCTTGGTCACTATGAACATAAACGAGAAACCGCGAGCAGCACCAAGAGTGCGTACTACAAATGAAAGTAGCACGGTAATTTTTGCATTCACACTGAATATTGTCGTTAAGAAAGCAGTTACTTGTTACAGTTATGCGGAGGTTTTTCTGGTGTGTTGAATTTGTTTTTACATACTGATTGCATATATTTATTGCGATTTGACTGTAAGGGTTATGAGGGTCATCCTGAGAAGACAAAATTTGTTTTCTTTCGGAACTGAAAGTAATTGGACAGCCTCTTACGTTCATCAGTGTTCGTTCGTGAACATTTTGTGATTTGAATTCAGAGTGCACTTCTATTGAATATGATTCGAACGCTGACCACGAGCTCCTCGGAAGACCAAAAAGAATTGGATCGTCGTCGACTGGAGATGGGTTTTGCTGAATCCTCAGCTGAAATTGATCAAGTCGTTCGAGGCAATCAATGTTTCCTCTTTTTTTTTCAATTTACATCACTCACATAAATGTTAACAGGGACAGAACTGAGTTTTTACCCGAAATTCTCCGTTTTTTCAAGCCGAGCGCATTTTCAAGGTCTCGACTACGAAATTTCATCCTCGTTTTTCACTTTCACCGCAACACTAGTTATCAGTCTGAATGATACCTAATGATTTAATACATTCACTCTCATTGTTCAAACTCCAAAAAATGGAACTTGAAAACTTCTGAATCAAGCAAGGCAAATTTAAAATAGTAACGTTTGTGCTATAATCATGATATGTCAGGCACCTACCAGCCTCTCTTGTCAAATTTGAACGAAGTTGTTATCTGTTTGTTCACGGCTTGAGAAAATTTGTTTTATCAGATTTGTCAATGGAAGTGTGAATGAGAGTTGCTAAAGACTTCATCTAGGGTTGATTGATTATTTTATAAGAGTTGAATGGACACATGGATGATCATCGACTCATTTACATTTCCGCACAAGAAATGATTGTTTTAGAGCATGAGAATGATGTTGGCACGTGTCTGGAGTCGTTTCGTAGTGTCTCTTCTCGACTAACAGGTTAATTGCCGCTCTTTGTGAGACTATTGTAGTAGCTTATAATTGAACGGGATGATGAATTGTTGTGAATGAGTTAAATATAATGTGCAGCATGTCGTGAACGTGTGCACAGTGTAAGAAACGGTCTGTTGACTTGTCGTACTCTGCTGCAATGTAGACGGGATGATCTGAAACGATTATGGATGGAGAATGCGCAACAGCGTCATGTCAGCTATATTCTCGCGCAAATGTTTGTCCATCTCTCTACTTTTGTACTGTTATACGTTTATTCACAGTGGATGATACGCGAAAACTTTTCATGAACAAATAACTCAATTCCGATTTTTAACGAAACTTGATTTGATTTTCAAGCAAAGATCTTCATCGATTTCCGTCTTTCTTCTTCACTTCGTAAATCAACTGAGAACTTTTAAAGAGAATCGATAAAGAAAATCGGAAACGAAGTTGATGAAGCAGTTGCTCGGAAGGATTATTTGAGCGCGGCCAATTCACTGAAGGAGGCTGGTTCGTTCCATTCCCTTCCTCTTGTTTGGCTCAGAGTTAGGATATGTAATAATTTTTGTTTAGACTCACTTTTGAATGGTCCCTTTTCGAACATCGACGGGCTTAGCCATCTTCGCACTCACGTTCATGAAACCTCAAAGGTTCTCTTTCTTTATTAGTGATTTTCATCTTTTTTCTCTCATTTCATCTCTTTTGACATCCACATTTGCTTTTTAAGTACTTTTTCGCTTATCAGTTTTGAGTAATTGTCGTTTTGGATGTGTTTCTCAATTCATCATCGAGTTCAATTAGATTCCTCATTTGAGCAGTTTATTTTATCAAGATATTGCAGAAATTGGTTGAACATCTTGTCGATGATGTCATGAATCATCTTATCGTGCGACCGTTTGAATTGCAGGTTGGTTCTTCTAAAGAAAAATGTTATTGACATCGTTTAGTAAAATGTCATCTGATCAGTGGTGACTGATCAATATTTTGACCATGATTGTAAGTGTTACCTTATGAATATGGTGATGTGAGGGAATGCATAGCTAATATTCCAGTTATTGGATCTAATCAGATCTTTGCCAGAGAATAAAGTTAGCGAATCCGTTGAATGCACTTCAATAATAGCGCATTGTTCATCAACAAAACGCGATGGTATCGGCGCAGAATCAGAATGCGGTAGAGCACAATTGTTGTGTTGTATTCGTGCGTTGTGTGTATTTGGTTACTTGAAGACTTCACTCAATCGCATTTTAAATGCTTCACCGACTCTTTTACAAAAACATATTCATTTGTCAGCAGCGATTATTTGTGTCGCATTCAATGGCAACCAAAAGGGAGATTCACGACATCTGGCACATTACATGCTATTGGTAATTATTGCTTTTGTTTGCTTCGCCTCCATTTCATTAATCTTTTTGAACAGCACTTACTATATGGTGCATTGATTGCAGTTATTGAAGCAGCTGCATGCCAGCTATGAAGCACACTGTTCAGTGGACGAACAAGTCCAAAAGGTGCAGTCGGAAGACAGCAGTATCGATGAAGTAATCTCATTGTCGGCTAATTTTTGGATGATGGCTCAAGAAGCGATCGAAAAAGTGGTATCCGAATACGTTTATGAACACATTAGTGCGTCGTCATCTGAAGGTACAGGTGAAAAATCAACTGAAAAGACACTGCTATTTCGATTTGACGCATCTGCATGTGCTACCACAACTTCAAGCAGTCAAGCTTCAAAGCAGGTTTCGCGCTTTATGTTTTATAAGCATGTTTTGAATAAATATTATGTTCTGTGTGATAGGATCGTATGAATGTTGAAGCTTTGATGAACAGATTGCAGACTCACGCGACTGTATGCTTGCCGTCACCTTGGAATATCACCTCTCTTTATCCTCAGTTGGAACGATTTTGCACTGAGCTGGAATCAAAAAATGGACAGAAGCCTTGCCGATTGCGTCGTTTTTTGCATTCGTTCATAGTCGATGTTTTTATTGGTCGTTTCCAGTGTAAACTCGAGAGACTTGCAGAGAAGGCTCTTCACGGAAATGACGCATGGCGTGTTCTCATGCATCACTCCAATCCGGTCATCCATTTCATGTTTCATTCAATTAAACTGCTCATTGTTCATGATCACAGCTCCAAAACTAATAACTAGATCAATCATGAATCGTTATGATATTCTTTGAAAAAAGATGATGATGATGATGCTAAGTAGTGCATAACTGTGTGCAAAGATCCTGTTTTAAAATGAATCGTTGAATTAATACAGAAAGTGTTGGCGAGTTGTTGGAATATGCTCGCGGTGTGCGATGAAATTGGTAAGTTAATCGAAACGATGGCTGCTTATACTGAGCGACTGTCAGCCCTTTGGCTCCTTGTCATCGACGAATTTGCCAGAAGTGCAACGAATGTTTATGAACGGGTACGTCATAACTCAGAAACAAGTGATTACTTAACGAATAAATCGTCGATCTCGCATCATCTTTCGATCGATGAAGAGTTCATTTGCACTGAAATAAATTGGTAATATTTTCAAGATCATTCGTCCGTCAAGTGAAGGCGAAGAAGGGCGTGAACGACGCAAGATAAGTGCAGCATGGGCGGTTGACGAAGATATCTCTCGTCTGTTAAAAAGTCTACCCAATTGGTTCATGGTGAGCACATATGAATCAACGCCAACGCCATCGTTAGGCACACCAAGTGCTCTTTTACCATGCACGGAAAGTGAATCGGATATAAGGCAGAGGAACGAACGTGAATCTGAGATTCTTATAGGTGTGCACTCATAACTTTGTAGATCAGTTTGAGTGGTTCGTGTTGTGGTAAATGGTGCGATGATTGAAGGCAATCTCGGTACTGCAAAGCAGTTGGTTCGTGATGAGCTGATTACTGATATGGAGTTAATTCGTTCGTTGGTATGCATGCACGAATCGCTCAAATGGTTTTGCAGCAGTATGCGCTCTCTTATCGCATCTTTGCCTGAATCGGCTCGTAATGCGATGCGTAACTGTCTCATTCAGATTCAATCATCCACTTCCGAGCTCAGCGCTCAAACGGTCCGTTGATACACTACTTCCAGACTCAGTTATCATTCACTTGAATGGCACCAGCTCGACAGTAACTGCCTATTATTGTAGCAACAGGAAAACATCTACTCAGCGGTCGAGAGACGTCTGAGCGAGTTGGATTCTATGGCTGATACGTGTCTGCTGATCATCCATCTGGAACTGCGTGTTCATTGTTTCTTTCATTTGTTACCGCTCGCGCGTGTGCGACCATCACTGCCTCATGATGAACTCGATAATGAAGTTTGCATTTCGATTCAATACTTTGCGTTGATATCATTAACCACTTTATTCTTGCTTTGAAGCATGCTTACATTGTAAACTTTTCTTCACTGCCAGTTCAGAACGGTGATATAGCGTGTTTTAACAGTGGTACTTTCCACTTAATCAGTCAGATGTTGATATCTGACTTTGAATACATTGCTTTATGCAATAGAAGGCACCATAACAGCTTATGTTTTGTAGTGATTTTCTTTGCAAGATTTTGCTGTGCAATGCAAATGATGTCAATATTGCTAGATAGAATTTCAAGTGGATTTATGATATGTCGATGAACTGTTAAGGTAATCGATTTTGGTAGAGATATGGTACAATTTCATCAGTTGTTGAATTCGCATTTACCACTTCATAAGATGAAGTATCTTTTCGATGGTCTTGGGCATTTGTCTGCCTCGATTTTCATCCATTCGAGGTTCGTTTTGCGATATTTTATTGGGCATGTTATTACTGAGCATCGTCACTTGCCAGCATGCACTGATTCGATGTCATTCTGTGCGATTGCATTCTTTCGATTAGAAACATGCCTTTTCATTTATGACCGACAAATATCTCAACGTGTGCTTTTTAAATTTTCTTTCCTTTTTCATGGCTATTTTGAAGTTTCTTCTCCAAGCTTGCATAATTAACCCACTTTTGTGATCGCCCATTCATGTCATTCCCAAATCTGCACAAAACCCTGAGAGCTTCTGAAACTCGTGATGAAATTTGGTGATTTTGCTCACAAGCTTTGAAGTTTATTTTTTGAGGAAGAGATGTGCGCCCATATTTTCTCTTTTATCACATTGTTCGCCTCAGTTAAAACTGATTTTCAGTGATCTTTTTTCAAATTCAACGGAATTTATACGACTAAGTATCATGTCAGTTTTGAGGAATTATGTCATAATGTGCAAAAGTTCGCCAGTTTCAGTCAACATATGCAAAAATTGAGTGAGAATGGTAAGAAACGTGTTTGTCGAAATGTTTTTGCTGTGCAACAACGACTTAGTCAATTGACTGGAAGACGAGAAAGTGAACTGGAACGAGCACGTGCATTTTTTGAATTATTGAACCACGATCCTGACCAGTTATTGGCCTTGATTTTGGAAAGAGGTGCCGTTTTTTCGCATCTTGAGTACACTTATCTGCTTTCATTAGCTGTTCGGTTAGTCTTTGTCTCCAGTTCTTTTATTACATTTCTTTTTCTTGTTTGTTGGGGAAGATGCATTCAAAATGAATGTCTAACTTAATGCAGTGCGAGTGAGTTGTCCTTTCAAGTGGTGAACTTAAATTACTAAATCGTGAACAAGCAAAATCGAAAAACGATGCTTTGAATTTACAAGGATTCATATTGCTACAGCACCGTTTCTTCAAACATTTTCTTCAGATCACATCCGATACTTGGCGCTCAACCAGGTGCTCTCGAACAGAGAATATCACAACTGAAGTCAATCTTGTCACATATCAAGAGGGCGTGACATCTACTACGTCAATAAATGTGGTGCTTATTCCTTATGGAGTGCATGCTTTATTTATCCATCTCTCACTAATTAATAATAAAGCTTATCGTTGTCATACTTGTTGAATGTAACACGTTTCGTTCATCCATATTTTATAGAGTGATTTTGATGTGCACACTTCGTTGATGGGTCCAGTACACAATTGTCGTGTTCTGCTGCTGGTGCTTGCGGCGAACTCGAACCATTTTGTAGAATGCGATGAACGTTTTGCATAACGCGTACGCAACTCTCCAATTTTTTGTCCATTGAATTTAGCTGAAATCAATACTTTACTTGCCCGTTGCCGTTTTTTATTTTATTAGTTGCGTGACTTTAGCTTCTCAGTATTCACAACGAAGTGGCATTTCAGTTGGACCTTTTTGAAAGCAGTTGCAAGTGGCTGAAGTAGTGTTGGTGAATAAGCATTTAGAACAAAGTAATGGTCAGAGTGACGAGGCAGTAAGGCAATCAATTCAAACAGGATACAGGAGACGTGTGACGGGAGTGGTGTATGATATGGAATAAGAGGGGAAAACAAAAACAAAGATATATAAAACTAGCAAAATTAGCCGTAATGGAGACCATGGACGTCTTTGAAGCTACGTTGGACGTAGCGGAGTTTCTCTTAAAAGTAGTTTGGAAAATGATGTAATCTGATTGGAGTGACGAAGATGGAAACATCGGGAATGCAGAAATAGCTAAAGCAGGAATGTTGCAGAACAAATTAAGAGCCTGAGATGTTGTGAACACGTATGTAGAGGACAGTATGAGTGTATCAGCAGTGACTGGCACGCTACTGAAAAAAAAAATCTCTACTAATCGCCATTTTCGATTCTTCTTTCAACTAGCAAAAGTTTCAGTCGCGCTGCTCATTCATCGAGGAAACAACCTCCAAAATTTTGGTAAAATCCTTTCAACAGAATTGGAAATGTGAAATTTTATTTGAAAGAAATCCACTTATCAAAGATTAACAATAATAACTAAATGATGTCCAAGTGAAGAGTCATCTGGTCGACTCCCAATATGATAAAGATGAAACCGGTGCCGATGAGATTAGCACGTCAGGAATATTGAGAATTATATACCATTTTATGCTAGGATGACTATCGTAGCCAACAGTCAGTTATGATGACTTAATAATGCGGTAATCAAATTTCTCGCCTATTCAACAACTCATTACCCCACTCAGATGTTCTTCCCTCTGTCCATGAAAATATCATCTTCACGGTTCATGCAATGCAATTTAGACACCCTTCACCTAAGATGTGCATTCTGATCATGAGGCAACGGCTTTGGTCAATATATCAATGCAATTAATTGAACACTTAGCGAAAATGCTTGATTTCCTACGAACGTATCCCGTAAGAAATTTGAAAATAGAAACCAAGACCTTGGCAAAAAACACCTGGATCACCTGGTTTAGTTAAGTTGTCAAATCTTTCGATAAATGAATCATTCTGTTATTGAAGGTGAGCAAAATCCCTCACCGTCACATAAAGTTTCCTGGTAGTAGAGAAGCTCTTCTACCCGCTTGTACCAAGAAACCATTATGTTGCTGGCAAGAATGAGGGTCATTGTAGCTTGAATATGGATCTTTTAATATTCCTATTGTATTGTAGTTGATTCCGAATCTGTTTCCGAGTTTTTAGAGCTCTGATATGACTAATGAAGGCAGGAAGCTATGTTCTGAACTGATACATCTATATTGGTATGTCTGCATACTTCTGAGTGATTCTGTGGTGCTGAACGGATCTCGAAGTCACGTAGGTAATAGCTATACAAAACAATATGTTCATTATTGAAGCTTTGTGAAACTGAAATTATGAACGGATTACACACTTCTGATCAAGTTCTAAAGTTATCCTATTTCTATCGAGACAGATCTTATCCCAAAACTAGATAAATGCCAAAATTATAAGGG